GTGGAAATCGTTGATGTCAACGGGGGTGCTGGGCGCTTTCGCGTTGCCAGGAGCGATTGCGGCATAGGCATGTTCGGTGTGTGTGCGGAAACCGTTTTGGGCGTACAGGTTGCCGCATCGGGGGAAGTTCACCGACCTCCCCTCCTCTTGCTCCAACTACAACTCGTGTTTGTCTAGAGTTGTGGTTTTGAACCCGTCGTCGAAGAGGAACGTCAGAGAGACTAGGTTGTAGCCTAATCGAGGAACGCGTGCAACCCTTTTCAAGAACAGGTCGGTTGTTCCGTCGCGCGAGCTAAGGGTGACCGTACCCTCCAAGGGATTTTTTTTCCGGCGGCGACGCGCACACGTCGATCACACTCCTGGTATCGGACGAACCCATCTGAGTTCGCGAACATGTTGGTGGTAGCGCCGGTATCGGCAACATACCTACCCCGCCTAGCCTGCTCTACACCCCCTCGGCCATCGACTTTGTGACACTTGCCCGAGATTTCACCGACCACCAGCGCCTCTTATGCCACGTCCAGTGCCGTGCCGTCCGCAGACGCCCCCCCCGCCGGCACATTCACCACGAGCACCGCCTCCGCGGTCGGGCACTTGCTCTTGTCGTGCCCGTAGCCCTTGCATGTCTCACATCGCACGGGCTTGCTCTCGGGGCAGTCGGCCACCTGGTGGCCCTTCTTACCGCACCGGAAACAGCGACCGCGCATGCTACCCGCATCGTCGTCGCNATCGTCGTCGCCGCCTCCGCCGCCGCCACCAGCCTTCGCGCCACTCCCTCTCCCCTTCTGGTTGCCGCCGCCACCGCCGCCGCCGCCGCCAACCTTGCGGCGGTCGCCATTGCCGCGGCCCGGCGCTCCTCCCCCATCGCTACCGTCGCTCGCGAGTAGAGCGTGCTCCGCCCTCCGCTGGCCCTTCGAGGCCTTCCTCCCCTCCGGAAGGCTCGCGTGCACCGTGCTCACGATTCTGACGTCTCGGGCCTATCCAGCGCCGTTGCTGTCTCCAACAGGAACTTCGCTTGTTGGTACTCGGGTGGGAGGGAACCAACGAAGTGGGCGAGTGCAAAGGGTGCGTCAGCGTTGAGCCCTTGTGTGCTTAGCCGTGAGTACAGCAGGTGCTCGATGGGGTTTCTGCTGCTGCTAATGGGGATTGTGAAGTTGAACATTTGCTTCATGAGGGCTTAGACGACCGTCTTTCACACGGACGAAAGTGAGAGTGCTCAAAGAGCGGCTCCCACAGCAGGGAGGGGCCCCGTGAATCATTGCGGTGCCCCCTACCAAACGGCAATCTGACCAGTCTGCGCGACATCAAATCCTACAGCACATGTATCCAACACTAATGTCCGCAGACCCACGAACAACGTTCATTGTGGCTGTCATGTTGTTACCACGTCCCCTGCTTTTGCTCGCCCAAGTATGACCCCCTTACTGCTTTTATAGATGCGCATGTTGCGAGACTTGTGTGAAAGAAGCTGGTCTCTGAGTTTAGCCTATCAAGGGTGTACAGCAATGGACTGGCCTAGACATGTAGGCAACCCTTGAGTCTCTGCTAGAAGTATAAGGGTGAAGGAGAAGTCGCGTCTTTTTCAACAAGCGGCATTGAAGAGGGTCGGAATGGCGGTTCTCCCCGTTGGCAATATGACGATAGATTGTTGTTCCTGTGGCTGTAAGTTTGAATCATGTAGATACTCGGTGATCCTTTCTGTCTGCGTGCGTATCCCCTCCCACCTGCTGCCGGCTGCATGCTCTGGTTTGGCGGTGGACTCCGGAAGGCGGTGCACCGACAACAACGCGACCGTTTGGAGGCTGAACTTGAGAGTATCCATGTACGAAGATGAGAGGAGCTTCAAACGCGGTCAATGTCCATGTGGTGATTCTCCGGGCGTCGAGAGTATGTAGTAGCGGTGCAACCCTCCTGCTTTCGAGTTGCTAGTTACAGCGCAACAACCGAGTTCTTGCGGTCTACTTCTATATACAAGGTCCCTCTCGGCGACGGTCGAATTGCAATTTGTTTCAATATTTTTTGGTTCCGTTGCCATCAGGGCATGTCCTGCCGGCGGGTGCTGGGATAGGAGCCTCGAAGAGTGGCCACCCTTCCTTGCGTTGTGTGCTACGAACATGTTCTTTTTCGTTCGTGAACAACCCAAAAGACGTCCCGTAACCGTTATATTCCATTCCGCGCCCAGATGTTCCACACGGGATACTCCCAAAACCTGCTTCGGCTCATGCAAAGGGAGGGGGAGATACTTGCTCAGGTACGCATATAAAATCCACATGCACGTGTGTGAACTATTCCCACTTTCAACGGGGCTCAACCGCAGACGAGTATGACGGGTGTGAGGTAGCGAACTTTGCGTTGTAGCTTGCATTTAGTATCACATACACCTTCACACGTGGCTGCAATAATTTTGTTTAGTATTCAGCGCAGTGGTCGGGAAGATCTGTTTGGGCTAGTTGACGTAGGGTGATCGGGGATGTGCGACGGACGTGGTGCACATGCTCGGGTGGGCACAGGTATCCGGCTTTCGAGGTGCACAACGACCTGCCGTCACGGATAAGAACGACTGTGAAACTCAAGGCAATTCATCTATTGAATCGATGCTCGTGCATGTTTCGCATCCCTTGCTACTGTTGGAACTATGGAGGGAGGGGACGCTGGAAGCCTCGGCCAGCGCGTCGAAAAAATGCTTGCTTCCGAGACGGCGAGACTGTTCAAGGTAGGATGTACAACACAAGCGAGGACTCTCGCCGCGCTGTTCGACTCCACAAGAATGGTAGAGATTTCATGTGCAGCGATACAAGGAAACCAGTCATGGGTGGCAGAACTGTAGGTTGCGTGCAACACGAGTAGACCACAAGTCCCACAGGACGCTGGTCGACATGAAGGTATTAATT